TAGCAGAGCGAGGTTTTGATCCTCGGACCTCTGGGTTATGGGCCCAGCACGCTTCCACTGCGCCACTCTGCTCTATGAGATAACAATGTGAAATTATACTTATTTAATGAAAACGTATGACGTCAGACATTGCGTGTATAAACTTCAGTGTTCTCACCAGATTGTCGTTGAGGTCTTCCTCTGACATGGACCATTTAGCTATTGCTCTTGAAGCATCTTTACCGGAGAATACATTATACGATCCTCCACGTCCATAAACCTCTACACAAGGACAGAAAACTTATATTTTAAACACGAAGTCACAAGTTTCAGACAGTGTTGAACATTGCTCTTGAATTCTTCAAACAAGGAACTAAACATTCAGTACCGAAATAAACGGATCAAATACCCTAGATATATTGAGAGCATGTGTGTTATAACCGACAGGAAGAGATCTTAAAAATATCTTACTTCTGGCTTCGGAAACATCGAAAACAACTCCCTTGATAGCAACGTAGACGGGAAGATCGGGCTGAAACAAAATACGACAAAACACAAAACTGTCACGCACGCAATCAAGACCTCTTCACTCAACAAGTAAGCGAAGTAAGTGAGGAAAACCAAAATAATTAAAGACATTTTAAACATGCTACATCAACGCAGTTGACGGTGTACTTACATCCTCTCCATTGTATTTAGATAACTCTTCCTTAGTGAAAACTGTGTACGAATGAACATCGCTCTCCGTGTGTTCAGAAAACGGCGAGTGAATCAAGTCATCGTTTTCAAGAGTAATATCTACTGCTGCTGTAGTAATATTCAGGAAATATAACAAAAAAGCAAACTTTGCAAAATCAAGCTTCATTTTTGTCGCCCTAAGGACAAATGACTTGGACAAAATTGCGGCGATGTAGCCTCTCGCGTGACCCTGAGGCGTGACGCTGAACTGAATGGTCACATGACCGGAAGTGATATTAAAATTCTCAAAACGAGTTAATTTTGCCTTTGAGAAAAGATATTTTGACGATTATTTGTCCAATAGGGATGAAATTTTCATGATTTGTTTTCCTTGGTAAGTTTTGTGTTTTAAGCTCAGAACTTTTCCATCCAGTGCACTTTGTCAAAGTTTTGCATTGAAAAGGTATGCTGGATTTTCTGTATCACCAGACAGGGGCGTGGCGTGAGATTTTAAAGCTGTACGCAGCGCGCCACAGGCGCTCGAAACTAGGGAGGTCTGAGGGCACGCTTCCCCAGAAAATTGTGAGATCTGGGGTCTCGGAAATGCCATTTCCTGCAATTTCCGAGGGACGTCACAAATGCGAGGGAAAATGCAGTGGTTAGTTGTCTATTTTACCCATCTCTAGAGTTTTCGGAAAGCTGCAACAAAAACAGGGGAAAAACAATGGTAGGGTACAAACAGAGGGTTTACAAGCAAAGGGCAAAATGTCTACCCTTCATACGGGCAAACTCTGTTATAGCATCATCAATGTCAACGTCCATGTGTTTATGAATGTGCAGAATTGCTAAAGAATTCAATCTCCCGTCTGTCATGGTTCTTCGTAACGGGGGTTTTCAATCTCTTCACACTGCTGAAGCTACGCTCAGCAGTACAAGTTGACACAGGCATACGTCGGCAATGTTATGACAGCAACATATAATCCGGGATATAATTGAGGGTTGGCATGATCAAGAGTGTCAACCAAAGTCTTTGGCTGCACATTCGGATCCATTCCACTCCACTTTTGCCTCCATCTTGTGATCACGGCTTTGAATTCGCCCTCAGAGGTCTGTATGTCACTGCCTTAGTAGCTGTAGATGTCATCAATGACTTTTATGAAAAGATACTGGAAAGACTTACACACACACAGATAGCAATTAAAAATTTAAAAATCGGCCCGATTTTATGGTAACTTTAAAAACTGCTTTCAGGGAATAAGAAAAATATTTTNCAAAGTTTTGCATTGAAAAGGTATGCTGGATTTTCTGTATCACCAGACAGGGGCGTGGCGTGAGATTTTAAAGCTGTACGCAGCGCGCCACAGGCGCTCGAAACTAGGGAGGTCTGGGGGCACGCTTCCCCAGAAAATTGTGAAATCTGGGGTCTCGGAAATGCCATTTCCTGCAATTTCCAAGGGACGTTTCAAATGCGAGGGAAAATGCAGTGGTTAGTTGTCTATTTTACCCATCCCTAGAGTTTTGGGAAAGCTGCAACAAAAACAGTGGGAAAACAATGGTAGGGTACAAACAGAGGGTTTACAAGCAAAGGGCAAAATGTCTACCCTTCATACGGGCAAACTCTGTTATAGCATCATCAATGTCAACGTCCATGTGTTTGTGAATGGGCAGAATTGCTAAAGAATTCAATCTCCCGTCTGTTATGGTTCTTCGTAAAGGGGGTTTTCAATCTCTTCACACCGCTGAAGCTACGCTCAGCAGTGCAAGTTGACACAGGCATACGTCCGCAATGTTATGACAGCAACTCATAATCCGGGATAGAATTGAGGGTTGGCATGATCAAGAGTGCCAACAAAGGTCTTTGGCTTCACCTTCGGATCCATTCCACTCCACTTTTCACTCCATCTTGTGATCACGGCTTTGAATTCGCTCTCAGAGGTCTGTATGTCACTGCCGTAGTCGCTGTAGATGTCATCAATGGCTTTTATGAAAAGATACTGGAAAGACTTACACACACACAGACAGCAATTAAAAATTTAAAAAATCGGCCCGATTTTATGGTAACTTTAAAAACTGCTTTCAGGGAATAGGAAAAATATTTTTCCAGGTTTTAGCTGTACACATGGGCGTACGAGTGTATATGGACGGAACCCCCTTCTGACCATTTCATGTCTGAACTAAAAAAATCGTTTGAAAGTCAAATGGAACAAGAATTTCAGGAGAATCAATTCGGAAATTATAGATTTCCTTACCACTTGCTTCATGTTCCAGTTAAATTAGTTGGCTTGCTGATTTTGGAAAAACATCATCAGCGTTTTCGGGCGTTTTGGTGTGGACTGTCACCGGCGAAAACGTATCAAAAAGTATGCGTTTTCATACGATAACGGATTAGTGTGGACAGGTGAAAACAAAACGCAAACGCTGGTGTGGTCGAAAATATTTTGCTTCCGTTTCGTTGAGACGACAACGGATACACTAGAATCTCTCTCTTGACACACTCTCGTTAGCGGACAGCTCTACTAATTACCGCATCCGCAAAACCCAGTATGAATCTTTGAACTCCCATAAAAACTGATGTCCTTTAACCTTCTGTCTTTGGGTTTTCAAAATAGAATTTCCAGAAAGGAAACCAGTGCCCAGAGTTAAAATGGTCCAACCTTTTAATGCAAAATAACAAAAAACTCATAAAACTGCACCCGGGAATCAGGTTTTGTGTTACTTAAGTTTTAAAATCCTAAATGAACTTTGAGATATTTAGAAGTTTCCGAGATATTTAGAAAATATCCCACCCCCCGCCCCTCAACTACACACACACACAGAGAGAGAAACAGTATGGTTGCGTACACTACGGTCACTTTATTGTTCCTTTTACTTATCTTAGAATATACAATCATCTCTGGTTTACATACTCATAAAAATTTTAAAATAAACCTTTTGGATGTTTGAAAACAAGTTCGTCAATCATGTATAAGGTTTTTTAATGAAGAAACGCAAAAATCACCACATTGTTTTTCACTCAAATGGTGTCCCTTTAATGATCAGTGC